TAAGCAAACATTACAAATTAATATATATATATATATATATATATATACAGTGAAAATGTACAGTAACAGTGAAAATCCATTAAATTCAATATATAAATTAAAAACTATTATTTCATACCTACGTACTTTAAATTTTAATTAGAACTTAAAAGAATGCTAGTCAACAGTAGAGTAATTGAAAATAAGAATAACAATAAAATATTCAATTCCATTTCTTTTTTCATTATCATTAAGACATACTAGTTAGGCCTAGAGGCTACAGTACCGGTTTCAGAAAAAGAAAAGCTCATTCAAGTTATTGATTAACTACAAATTTAAATAATCTAATGAAAAACACAATGATTAAAAGGTAAAGAACAATTAAGTTATTAAATGGGCAATACAATGCATGTACTTACTTTAATTATTCGACGAGGTAAATTGGCCATTTCAAAAAACAAAAATAAGTTTTCCGAACTTCCTCTGCCGCTACGCTAGCAAGTTCGAATGATCTAGCTCGGTTTCTAACAAATCTTGTAGCGTTGACCACCAACCACGGATACAGATAAAATCATTACAAGATGGCTGAAATCTAGCTAGCGCCCTCTTTGTATATAATTCAGGAGACTGACTGAGAGAGTGTAACTTAAAACTTCTATAAAAGAAAATTTTTTAACTCAAAGTAAGCAAACTTTCTAGAAGCTATTGTTGCCCGTTGTCACATATCTTATTTTGTTTGAAACTTCATGATAAAACAAAGAAATAAAATTAATTTTAACTTTCGTTCAGAGCAACCTACCTACTTAGACCAAAATATAAACAAAATTAACCTGGTAATATTGATTGTATATTTTTCTTCGTTAAATCTTATTTATAAAGACCAGAATGCATTGCTTCAAAATTTGGGTACCCTCGCCATTAACGATATTTTCTGCCGTAAAACCAATATCTCACGAAATTCAGTCAGCTTAGGAGATTTAGATTCTCCTAAATTTATATACTAAGCTAACAACGCAAAAACAGGCTCTATTTTAAAAATATAATAATTTATTTTGTATTTTTAAATAAAAGTTTTTAATACCCATATCACATATTAAATATTATAACCCAAACTGTTAACGAAAGTAACATTAAAGAAACAATGGAACATGCCTTACTTAAAAACACACAAATACTAGTTGTTAGCTTCAAGTACTATTAATAAACGACCTTATAGTACCAAATTTGTTATTTTTCTTGAATTAAATACTCCACTTTCGCTTTACAACTTCTTCAGGAGCGTTCCATTAAAACACGAAATGTTAAGTGTCCAATTAAAGAAAAATGATTTTGGCATTATAATGTCGTTTATTAGTGGTATTGAAATGTCTTCCATACACCAAAAGCTCTACAGAACTTAAATAATGAACTTCAAGTACTATTTTAGATTTAATTTTCGACAAAAACATGAACAAAATTTTGTGGTTTTAATGCATAGTGCTTTACTCACCCTTAATAACCTAAAATACTTATGTGTTTGGAGAACAAGTTGCTTACATTCCACCATTATATGAGGTCTTCTTTATTTATTTGCTTCGTCCTTCCAAACAGCACTGTGGAGCCGTAAATTCGGCGAAACTAGTTTGCTACAGAAGGAGTAGTGAATCAAGGAATAGATTAAGCATCTACATAATCTTTTCTTCAATTAATTTCATGTTATTACTTGTTTGTTTGAGCACAAAGCTACACAACGAGCTATCTGCGCTCTGTCCACTGTAA